AAAAAAATTGTCTATGCGGTCGCATAGAAATCACCCGAACACAAAAATGGGGTATTTTTATTACCATGCGACCACATAGTTTACTACTATGCGGCCGCATAGTAGGACCTCGATCACTTTCCCTAATTTTCTCCTCTTCACATATCTCTCGCACCATCACATTCACACACGACTTGCACTCATATTAAACTGCATTCTTCATCACATTGGCACCCTAAATCAATACTCCACACATTCATTGCGAATTCAATGTATTTTCTCATTCCTTTTTCTCTATGAATTTCTTTAAGTTTGGTTCGTGATGAACCAAGAATTTTTTGAGCTTGATTACAGAGAATGGGCAATAGGTAGTCGATGGATTGTGTATTTTGAATTGGGTTGTGTTGTGGATTGGAAGCGCATCATATTTTAGGTATTTTGTACAGTTTACGATGAATGCATGTTACATGTTCGATAAAATGCCTAAATGAACTTTGTTGTGCATTATGTGGAATCCCGCATTCGATAATCTGAATATGTACATTAACATACACATTGTGATCAAATGCCATAGAAATTGAACTAGAAGAATACTCACCAACCACGCACATGTAGGCACCTATGTTAGGTCACGGCATGTCACAACACCCTGTAATTAAGCACATGTACGACATCCAATGGGCATGAAATTTGAGCATGTGCCACTCTACACTACGTACTTTCATATGCCTGGAGATTGCTCGGGAAAATTTTGATTTTTCTTGATGATGTCCGGGGGTGAAAGTGCACACTTGATCATGGGTCACTTAACACAATTTGGATGTTTTGAGCTCGGTTTGTGTGTGTGTTGTTATTTTGCATTCCTTATACGTTCTTGAGCATGTTTTCTTGAAGTTTGCATACTATCGCATGCACAACACATGAAAGGCCATGTAAAATATCACATCCATTTTGCAACACGTAGGCACATGGCTAGGTAACGACATGTCACGGTACCCTACGTCCCTTACTTTACACCATTATTTGACACACCAAACGAAGTCCAATTGATTTGAAATTTGAGTATATGGTAGACTCATTGAATACTTTCATATGCCTGGAATCACCTGGGGAAATTTTGATATTTTTCGATGATGTCTGGGGTCGAACAAGCGCACTCGATCATGGGTCCAATTTTTCAAATGTGCATGTTTAG